CTGGAGGTCAAGTCTAGTCCCCGTCGAATCTCAGTGTCAGTGATGACTTGAAGAACTCGTTGATATACATAACTAGCTGCCTTCCCATTGAAAATTGTATAATTTGTATTTATCACTGTACCTAGACATGCCTCAGTTTTCAGTACAAATTGTTCCGGTACTAAAATTTCAGTCTTTAATCGACACCTCTTTTTTCGAAGACGCAATAGTTGGAATCGATCATCTCGGGAACCAGACTCACAGCTAGTTATTAATAAAATTGGTGTGCAGGAGAAATTACCCCCCCTATATGAGAGACAACTGGCATTAACTGATTCTATCCTACAAGAAATATCACTGAGGAGATAGAGCCACTCAAGGCGACATGACAAACCAGCTTCAGGACCATTCTTCTTTCAGAAATAGGCACTTGGGGACATTTCTGTTCCTTCAAGCCTCCTTAATCAGTAATCGGTAACCAAAGTAAAACGTCATTGGGCCATCACCACTATAGCAATGATGTTACAACCGTGACAGAGGTAAACAAGATCATTAAACGAATAGCTACTAGAGTAGTGAATAGTTATCTTTACCCTATAATTACCCTAGTATCGAGGTCACAACAGTAATATCCGTTTGATCAAAACGTACAAGGTGAGTCAGTTACCATCCGTCCGAAAAGTTGGTTAGTTAGTTATCGGCAAATTGGAATTCGGGGCAGAGGAAGATAACTTATTTTCTCAAGGCTTGAATGGTGATGCAGTTTGTTCCAGACTGGAAGAGCCAAAAGAGTGATCCTACGCGAGTAACTAATTAGTCAGTAGCTTATGTTTGACAACTCACCGTTTTTTCATTATTATTCGATCATGGTAGTTATGTTTAAGCGACGGTCCTGCAGCCCTCTCGGGCCGGGCAAAGGTCGTTCCTCATAGGGTTAGGGTTTTAATATTGCTCAAGAGATCTCGAAGGATTCTAGATTGCTCCGCCATCGGTCTGGAGACAATGCATGGATAAGCTTGAAAGCTCCATGTTACTCTAAATCATCTTTAAGACCTACATGCTTGAAAGCGTGGGGCTTAGTATTTAACACATAGTTACAGCTAGTTGGTACATGACCAGGTCACTGGGGAAATTTCACGTCGCAAGTGCCTATTGGTTCTCTATTGTATTTTTATGTCAATGCTGTAACCGCTGAGACATAAACCCCAGCTGTCATACTCCGTAGAGTTACGCCTCTCACATGGTAGCCGTTCCACTGATGTAGTTAGTTAGATAAGCCAGGTGAAGTGATCGCTGCTAAACCCCACGACTGTCGGCCCGGCAAGATAGTTAATTGTGTCTTTAATTATGTTCCTGGTTGCAATCTCCCCCAAATCCTTCAGACCGATGACTGCAGGTGAGATGGCTGTGTGACCGCTGCATAATAATAGATCGACCCCGCGGCTGCTATAGCTAATGGTATACAAGACCTCCGCTCGATCCCTTATATTACGAACGAATAGATAGCGAAGAATCACATTGGCCGGAGAGGTGGTTATGGATAGCCGAGGCTAAGCGTGGAACTCGGCGGTCTAGTTAAAGTTAATTATTTAACTAACTAGTTAGTTCGTTAGTTAGTTAGCCTTCAGGGGAAGAAAACTGCAAAAGCAAAGGTTGATATCAAAAACTCCAAACATTTTTGAATCCTGCCAATTGGCAAGACCAGACCAGCAGACAACGTATAAAGGCCTGCTCTATCTGCCGCCATGTCTGCCCAGAATGAGTGAGAAAAGACAATCCTGTTTCCCCAACTGATTAGCTACTCCTCTGACCCTCTGCTGTGTGCTCCGAATCATGGCTGACTATAACTTGAACCGCAGACTCCCCCCCATTCGGGCATGTCTCTTTGACATGGATGGCCTTCTTATCGACTCCGAGGACATATATACATTCGTGATAAACCAGATTTTACATGAATATGGAAAACCCAATCTACCTTGGTCTATCAAGGCGCAGCTGCAGGGCCGTCCCCAGCCACAGGTACGCGTTCTATTCTCACACAGTCATTCTGGGGAGCATTCACTATATGGCATAAACACTACAGGAAAAGAGTTCATTCTAATTTACTTTTCTTCCCCACCGTATACAGTCTGGTCAAGTGTTTCAAAAATGGGCCCAGCTACCCATCTCGCAGGAAGAGTTACAGAAGAAAATCGCTGCACTTCAACGGCCTCAGTTCCCAAAGACACAGCCGCTGCCCGGTGTTATGCAGCTGATTAGCAACCTATCCCGCGCCGCATCGAACTCTCCCCCTGTACACATTGCACTGGCCACATCCTCTACTACAACAAATTTCAAACTCAAAACCTCCCACCTCTCGGGTCTATTTTCCCAGTTCCCCCCATCCAGGATCATCGTGGGAGATGACCCCAGAATAGCCCCCGGGCGAGGGAAACCACTGCCTGATATATATCTGCTGGCACTTAGCATTATCAACAAGGAAATCCAGGCAAAGGGTGAACACCCAATCACCCCAGCAGAATGTCTCGTTTTCGAGGACTCCGTTCCTGGTGTAGAAGCTGGCCGGAGAGCCGGTATGAGAGTTGTCTGGTGCCCTTACGAAGGGCTGCTTGAAGTATACAAAACTCAGGTGCCGGAAGTCCTTGCTGGCCTGACAGGAGCACATAAGGACCCCGAGGATAACGGAAATGATACCTCTGCTGTCTCCAATTCAGGCAAGCCAGGCAACCTGAATGATGGCTGGGGAGAATTAGTACGCAGTTTGGAAAATTTTCCGTACGAGAAATATGGAATCAAGGTCACTTGATATCCTATCCCCCTCGTTTATTTCAAATCCTTACGACGACATGACTTCAAGCCCTTGCTTGCTAACTCGGTTAATGAACCGGTAAATCCGTCCAAATAAGAGGAATACCCTTCTTCACCATTTATCATATCAATAGACCAGATCTAAAAACAATGCATCCATCATATTGCGTAGAGTCTTGCGACGTTTGTCTAGATGGATTAGATGCCAAATATCATACGTAGTACTAGATCAATAACTGGCTGGGTTTTGTTTCTTGGTTTTATTTGGAAATCTGGTTTCGGTTTCATTGTAACAAGGGCAATAGACTCCGGCTGAGGAGTTCTTGAAAACAAGATAGGAGTTGGAATTGATGCCAAAAGGAAAATAGAGAAGAATGTCTATCAAATTTCTCCAACTCGTCGAGAATGGACAACGCCACAAGCTATCTGGAGTCGTGCGTTGTGAATATACCTAGTCAAGTACAGAGGAGATGTCAAGAGAAGGTGTGTGAGGGGATATTCTCTGAAAATTCTAGTCGTTGAGATGACCCAGGGTGATTAAAAGAAGGAAATTTATAAGACTTGGAATGATAGTACTCCGTAGAAAAGAGATGTCCATTGATCCCGGCATACCCTCTGAGGCGTTTATTATTGTCATAGTCTGAAACCAAGGGCTTGGAAATGTTGTAAGAAATTTGACAATGGTCCAGAGAGTAAAGCTATGTGCGAGGATATCGAATTGAGGAATTTGAGTAAGGACCCGTATAAATGCTATGATGTGGGAGCATTGTACTGCTCTTGGCGATAACAAAACGACACTTGATGCTTACATTATTGTTTCAATGGCGCATCTTCTTCAAGGGGCTTTCTGGACGGTCGGAGGTGTCAGCAGATCTTTTCCGAGAGGGCTTGCGTGACTTCGGTTGACATGCATGAGTAACTTCGCCAGAAACTGACGGCGATGGAAACTGAAGCACTGCAGATGGCATGCTCGGAGTTCTTGGGGGATATGGTGAAGCTTGGTTGACATTAGGATATGTCTGATCCCAAGGCGACCTCGGGGGAGAAAGGATATTAGAGTATATCGGACTAGCCATGGTATTCATATTGGCCGGAGGTATGTTGCCGGCTACTCCACTTTCAGGAGTACACATTTGATCTTGGCGGAAGCTGACGGATGATCTAGCCTCAAAGTTCCCAACGGGGTATGTGTGGTAGGCTGGTTGTGTCCCGGATGAAAATTGCTGAGTAACCGGTGGCTGTAAACGCACCATAGGACTGGTGTGAGGGCTCGGTTGATGAAAGGCAGCAGAGAGCTGGCTCAGATGCTGCTGAACAGTTGGAGGCATTTGTTGGTTCACATATGCTGGGTTAGAGGAGCTGCTGCTGGCCAAGGCTTCTTGTTTCGGGGTAGAGAAAGGGCTCGCAAGGGGGCGTCGAGCTTCATCCTCAGCAGCTCCGTCATCCTCGGCAGCTCTCTTGGCTATGACCTTCTTGCCAGCATCTATAGTCTGCTTTTTCTTCGCATTTAGAGTCTTATTGGAGTCAACACGCTGTTTATATATCCGTCAGTTATATCCGCTCAGTCTTGAATAGAGTATATGTAAGAAATTCTCACACTTAAACATGAGTTCGGGTCATCCACGAATTGGAGTAGATAGTAAGGGTCTAGCAAATGACGGCAGACTGTCTTGCGGGTCTAACAGAGAAGGTTAGTTAGCCTGGGTCGTCAGAGAGCAAGGAAAAAGTATCGAACCCTCAAAATTCTAAGCATATCGCCAAAACGCTCTGCGAAGTTCTGCTTATTCTTTCTAGTTTTGTTTTTCAAAGCTTCTTCTTCTGGTGTAAGGAAAGGCCCAGCTTCTTGTCGCACAATACAGCAATCCTAATAGGAGTCAGTTCAATGTTATATTTTGACAAATATAAGATAAACGTACTAAAATGTTCCAACAGCATATTTCAATCTTTCTGTCACTAAATTTTTTAGTCGCAAAGGGCTTAATCATTCCCCAATTATCTGTAGCGCATTCAAAACTCCTCATAGCCTTTATAAGTTTGATAACGCACTCCTGCCGCTCATAGGTAGTTCGTGGAATGGTAGGATCAAATGGCATAGGCCGCCTATCTGGGCGATAGTCATTGGCTTCTTTTGAGGAGGAAAACTGCAGGGTGACTGTATCGCTAGGGTCTTTATAATTCTGCCTTTCGTCCTTGATCTCAACAGGACCATCATTGCGGCTTGGATCATTCTGGAGACTCCATGTCATAAGCGCTGGTCGGGCTATGGCAGGGTTTCCAGGAGCCTGGTCATAAGGGGGCGATGAGCTGTACACATTGGAAGTAGAATGGCCAGTGGCTGTTTGCAAATCTTGAGTTACCCCAGGATTCATGTTATTCTGATTTGGGTACGGTTGTGGGGGCTCAACTTGCGGGCCGGCAGTATAGGCTGCAAATGCTTCGTAAAAAGTCCGGTCATCTACATTCTCAGTGTCCAAATCTGCATTGTGATCATGCGGTGATTGCTTTAGCTCTCCAGTTCCATCTGTAGTAGCTGACTGAGGTGTCCGGAACTGCTTGCTCGATTGAACTGGACTAGTATTGTAGGCCACTTCAGAAAAAGATGAAGCCTGGGCGTTCTCAAAATTATGTGTCTGAGGGTTCTTTGGAGCTAGATCGGCGTCACACATCCGGTCTGGTGAGCCAGTCAGGTTGAATAAATCATCGAATTCAAAGAGGTTATTGTCTGTAGTTTGGTGCTCCTGTTGCTCCTGTCCCTGTTCAACAATTTCTATAAGAGCCAATCGTCAGGTGTTAATAATTCAAATTCCATAGTAGTAGTGTAGTCTACCATATATGAAGGATAACTTATTGCCAGGGGAACATACCTTGACCACCTTCAGCATCTACAGCATTAGTTTGATTCTCTGCTTTGAATTCTAGTTCTGTAGATTCCTCGCCATCGACGGCACCCCCTTGGTCATGCGAAGGGCCGGACTGGTCAATATCGTACCTACTCAGGTAAGGGATAAGCACAGACGGACGCTTATTTAGAGTAATAATATAGCTTGGAATAGCCTACGCATAGTTATGCAGCGCCATCAGACCTGCTACGTCATCACTTGCGAATTTTGACATGTCCTCTCCGCCGAAAACATAGGAGTGATTCATTTTTTGGCTGTCAAAAAAACACGCTCATCAGCATGTATCCTCGGACATGGAACGGAAGAAAGCTGCTGATGGTATTTAACTTGAATACGGGCTATAAGCTCACAGTATTCAGGGGAACAGGTCTAAGAGCTCACCTGAACTTTCTGAGGAGATGGAATAACTAGCTGGGCGAGGGCCTTGCTTCTCGACCGTAAGAGTTAGTGAGTTATTGGGATGTCAGTGAACCCGTTAGTCGACAAAATAGCTCGAGCCGGTTGTCGCAGACAGTGGGAACAGGTATCGAAGCGTGCAGACAGGCAGTTTGAGTGAGTAGTCCCGATGAGAAATAGAGAAGTCAGGCAGTGGATAGCATCAGAGCTGTGGAAGCAGTAACGTTGGTACGATGAAGAGTGGTGAAGAAGATAAATAATTTGGAGCTGGAAGAAGTTTGAAGATGAAGATATAGACGTGGTCGAGGGGGTTCCATTGTCTAGTTGACCATTCACTGTCTGAACGGGCTGCCACTCCCGGATTTCCGTCAGTCGTGAATGTAGACCTCACATCGCCGCCGTAGACTATGGGGAATCGTACATTAAACCCGCCTACCTACGCATGCGTAAGTTCCCGAGGGTGAGTTATCAGATCCTCAGTTCAATGAATCAATAATAGATCAATAGCCGGGTACCGGGAGATCCCTTCGAGTACCCAAATTTCAATAAACATCTCGGCCAGCTGACATCCATTGACAGGTATTGTGCAAAGGACCTAGGTCAGCGCTGCACTAGAGCAACAAAGAGGTTCAACTGCCCCCATATTTGAGCAGTTCTCACTTGCAGCGATTCGTGCGTCGACATTTGACTAGCTAATACCAAAAGCGATAGAATAATTGCGTGCTTTGAACAATAGGATGGCTGCCTGTGCTGCTTTTTGTTGAGCAAGTTCGTCTCTAAGCCGGTGTCAGTCCCAGATCAGGGCTTCATCCGCATAGCGCAAGGCAGATCATTAAGTTGTGTTAGCGAACACGGTACACTCTGAGACTTGGTAGAGGTTGTAGCAAGTATTAACCTCTAATAGTATCTCGATAAGAGGTTAGTTATATCTCGAAATACTGGCATCAGGTAGACAATCTAACAAGGGCTGAGGTCTTCAGAAGGGTATCATCCGGGGTTAATAGAGTGAATCATGCTGTCTGCTTCTGCTTCTGATATCTATCACTAGCGAGAGCTCAAACCGGCAACTCTTACTCTCTAGCTAGTGCCGTTTTTCCTGCGACAGGAATTTGATGCTTCTGTTGTGTACGATAAACGAGGCAGGTTAATTTAAACTCTTTAACTTTCTCGTCCACTTCCGGATTAGGCCACAGATCTCGCCGCTTTTCCTTCTCGCTAACTCACACCGGAATAGTACAATAGACAGTACTATAGAGTGTAAACTAGTATACCTGAATACCCGCTATGACTTCCTCTAGAGATTTATCATGAAGGGCGTGAAATAAATATTATTGAAAGCTGACGTTGGTTTAAAGTAACCGCGAGACGAACTCGTTAACTAGTTAAGTTAACCAATTGCCTCAGATTACTAAGTAACTTGTTAAGGGGCGTTGCCACAAAGTTAGTTACAACTAAGTTAACTAACAAGTTACCCCTTCGATACCCCTTAATTTTATCTAGCTTAGGAACTCTATTGCGGATCTGGGAGTTTGGTGAGTAACCGGAAGATATGGCGGGATTCCATGTCCATGCATATAACTATATAACTATAACTTACGGAGTATATATGCGCACTTTACTCTGTAGTTATGTGGTTGAGCGAACTCGCATTATTTTTTCCCTTTCCGCCCATCTCCTTCTGGTGGAGTTGGTCAGTGGGAAT